CCCTATGCCCACAACTGTGTTGGCCGCAAAGCCTACACTCAGAGCTGCCTTAGCTCCTGCGCTAGCGCGCGTACAGTGCTTTAGCACAGGGTGCAATAGCATCCGAACGTGTGGCATTCGCCCACAACTCGCACCATAGGACACGACAGTCCTAGCGAACGCGCCAGGAGCATGGTGTCTCCCGCAAGGGACGACACCGAGAAGGGCAACACCTGCCCCAGCACTAGAGGAAGCTCTCAGCTCACCTCGGGCCATGCCTTTGGCTCCAGCAAGGATCCATCCTTGCGGGCAGAGCCTCTGTCACGCTCTCTTCGCGTCTTGGCCGTCATACCTACGGCGCGTAGGTGTACTTCATCGACACCTTGTAGCGTGACGGTACACAGCCGTGGCGTAGGTGTCTCCCATCAATACCATGTACCGTACGATACTAACCTTTGGTGCGGTACGCCCACCACAAGGTTGTCATGTTTGGCGGCAACAGCTTCTGCTGTGCTGTCGCCTGAACTGAATCATGGCTAGTGCTCGCATCGTGGACGACGCATTTGCAAGCACAGTGTACAGGTCCATGGGCCCGTACACGAGGTACGCTGTGTACAGCTACCATAAGTGCTCCGTGCACTTCATGTGTGTCATGCACGACGAGTTCATCACGTGGAACTCCCGGCAGGCTGCTCGACAGCAGCCAGTGCCGATGCACGGAACGTGCGTTGACCCACAGCGTATACGCCCAGCGCGCATCGGGTCGTGGTATGGTGCATATCCTTTGCACCTATACCAGTGTCTGTCACAGACACCATGTACCTTAATGGTACTCGACCGTGGTGGAGCATATCTCATCACCATGCCACTGCGGCGTTGGTGTCTGGCATTGACACCGAGTACTCACGGGTACCAAACCATGGTGAGGCAAGCAGCCATCACGACGGTGTCATGCTCGGCGCGGCACCAGTTACGACTGCGTGCGTTGCCTCGACCACCACCTGGTCAGTTGTGTGTGCACTCGTGCACCACACTTTGGTTATGGCTCCACGTCCCATTATACCCGGCGCGTTGCGTACATCACGTACCGCAACCGCTTTGTCGGCGGGTGAGACGTTCCGCTCACCCTACTCGACAGGTCGTTCATGACCAAGGGACCGGTGCCGTGATTGCACCAGGTCCGCGCTTCGCCTCGTGTGTGGTTGCTTGCAAGTCCAACACTGCCGATTTGCTCAGCGATTCCGAGGTACCTTGCGCCAGTGGCTTTCTTCGCCACTATGTCTTGTTCGGCAAGAGCTACCGCAGCTCTAGCCCGGCTGTTCGCCTCCAGCCTGCAGTCGATGTACATCGACGCCTGGTTCCGTAAGGAACTTGGTCTTACCTCAAGACTAGGGTGAAAAGGTATTTCCGAGCCTCTCCCGCACTTACACTTACGACCATTGAGTCTCTCGTGGCTTGGGATAGCCACTGGCAGCACGACGGCTACCTGCCTCGTGAGAAGTCCGGGAGGAAAGGTATTTCCGAGTCTCTCCCCCACTTAACCTCGAGACTACTGAGTCTCTCATGGCTTCTGGTAGCCACTGGCAGGCGCGACGGCTATCCGCCCCGTGCACTGCGTCGGTATGGACGACCGAAGGCATCCAGCCCTCGCGTCAGCGGTTTGAGTCTGCGCGACTTGACGTCGAGCGATTTGCTCACGTCTGGCGAGGCCAAGACAGCCTCGCGCCTCGAGCCAATGGCTCTGTGTGGGGAACTCTGTTACCCGCCTTGGGTGTAGAACTCTGTTACCCACACCGGAAGCGCATACAGCGACTTCCTTATCTGTTATGGTCTGAGTGACCTTGCGTGGAACTTTGTTACCCACGCTCGGAGCACCGAATGTCGGTCTCCTTAAGCGTCTTCGCTGCTTGCGGAGCTTGTTACCCGCAATGTGGACCTATGTTACCCACCTGGTGAAAGCCCTTCGACACCACCACTGTCGAAGCGCGTACGGCGCGACGACCTTCGGTGTTGGGATCAGCTGGCGTGACAGACCCACACACACCGGACAGAGTTGGTGTCCACTGACCGAGTCAGAGAAGTCCGGGCCCTGTCCTCCGAGTCGCTTGAAGCGACATCGGCCTGAACAAGGTTCAGACCCGACTTGCGGCGGTTAACGTGACGTGGTATTTCGTTACCCACGTCGTGATGTCTCGTTGACGACATCAGAGGCACTCGAGACCTTGTGGGGCACTGTGTTACCCACACAGGAAAGCATGGACAATGCCTTCCTCTTCAGTTATAGTCTGGGCGACTGCGTGCGGTACTGTGTTACCCACACAGGAAGCGCATTCAGCGTCTTCCTCTTCAGCTAAGGTCTGGGCGACCGTGTGGTTCTAAGTTACCCACCTGGTTAGCGCTTAAAGGCATAACCACTGTCGAAGCCCGTACGGAGCGACGACCTTCGGCGTTGGATGATGCTGGTGTAGCAGGTCCACACGCCGGGCAAAACACTCATGCCCGTGGCATTGTCGCAGCGGAGCATGTACGCAGAGCTGTCGGCGCGTTGACAACTCCGTGACGCTTCTGAGTCCTAGCGGTCTCTATCAGACGCCCCAGTCATGACGGAGGTGGGAACATGACTCACCAATGCTCCGTCATAGACCTGGACTGGTAGGCCCTTCTCAGTCTTGCCACACCAAAGTCCGGGCTGTGCCTTATGTTCGGCACAGCCATGTTGTTCATGGCGAGAGCTGCGAGCGACACCGCGGTGAGCGAGTTCATCGAGACGAAACGTTGAGGTCCGTTGAGGACCATTGGTACTTCCTTCACCATACCAAGGGCTAGTCGACCAAGGACCAGCTCGCGACCGCCACTCTGACATAGAGTTCAGGCGGGTGTCGCTATGCCAAACGACGTTCCGGCGGCGTATCAACGCTCCGGAACGTATCAAACGTTCAAGAGGTACCGTACCCCCGTGCATCGAGTGTACTACCGGCAGCCCATCACTGCCCTTCGCCGGTTTGAGAGAACCACGTCTCTCTGGGCTAAGTCCCGTGGTGTGCACAACCTGCACACCCATCACGAAGACTTAGCGCTCTTCAGCCTTATACTGCCTCTACTGGTGGCCGGGGAGTCTTCGTCCACCTGGCCGTGGCCTGCGACCACCGGACTTGGGGTCCACGGGCTGTTTTCTTCCCGAGGACTGGCGGGGGACACACACGCTGGTAGTGTCCATGTCTGCCGCATCCATAGCAGCGGACCAAGCTCTCGGCTGAGCTTAAGTCCGTGGGTTCGAGCTCGCTGTACGCACCGATTTCAACGGGCGGCGTGACAGCAGGAGCGACACGTCATTGCTGCGATGCTCCGCCTCCCGAGGAACGCCATTCTCATCGTGGCGATGTTCCTCTTCCCGAGGAGTACCTGGCTGCTTGTGGCTGCACTCTTCTTGGAGGGCGATTCGAATCGCCTCCTCCATAGTTGTCGCTTGCAATCAGAATAGCTGGGTGTGAGCAGGACCGACCTCAGACCGTCCATGAATACTGTTGTCTTGACGTCTTCAGGCTGCGGATTCCCTGCCAGAGATGCCACCAGCGTGCGCATCTCTTTCGCGTACTCCTGCAGCTCACGTTTACCTTGCTTACACGCGACAAAGCGTGAGCGCTGGCGGAACTCGTTGTTCGCCGGTAGGAACGCGGCTCGAAGCTGCTCACACAGCTGAGCCCAGGATGCAAAGCATCCATGAGATGTCGTCTCCCTGGTGTATGCCCAGTGCTTGGCACGTCCACCAAGGTTGGACAGGGCAAACGCCACCCGAGCTGGCTCGTCCGAGATGAGACCCGCCTTCATGGCGATCTCCACCTCACGGACCCAGAAGTGAAGGCTCTCTCCTTCCTTCCCCTCAAACGCGGGGACCTTCAGCCACACCGGCTTAGGCCTGGTTGCCTGGGGAGCGGCCATCGAGGCCTCCAAACTCCCACGGACGTGAGCGATGAGACCACGCTCGTAGGTCTCAAACGCAGTCACGCGTTCTTGTTGCTTGACAGACGTCGCCGCCGCCAAGCTGCGAAGGACATCTCGTCCAAAGATGCCTCCCATCTGCCGAACAGACTCGTACTGTGAGTCGTTCAAGCGAGTCAACTCGCTTCGGTCCATCGTGGCTCAAACGTTGAGCGCACAGAGGATTCAGGTAGTTCAATCTACCCGCGATGGTTTTGGATTGACTTCTAGTGCTACCAAGTGTGACGGGGTCACACAGCACATTGCACAGAGGGAGTGCTTAAGGGTATTTACTACCCGAGTGAACGTTAGTCCACGTGTTCCCGCCCTTAAAGGGAACGGTTTGCTACTTAGAAGAGTAGATTCAAGACTGATATATTTATAAGTAAGGTTAGCTTGGGCTCCATACAAACTAGAGTTTACCTATAGTGGAGCTAAGTAGTCATGCCTTGACTGGCTCCGAGAGCACCTGATACCGTGTACCAGGTGTCCACAAAAGTGACGGGTCACTCTTTATGTAACCTGGTGGTAGACGACGCTGCACACTGGATTGTACCCCGTTACATGTAACGGGGTACGCAACCCTAGGTGTACCCCTGGTTACCTGAAGTGTGACACATCAACACTTCAAGATACCTGGTACATGGTACCAGGGTCGTCAGAGGCCAAGCATTGGCTGATGACATAGCTTTACTAAAGGTGACTTAGAGTTTGCATATTTAACTCAAGCTATAAATACAATCAGTTTACAACTTACTTAAAAAAGGTCACTTCGCTCCCTTAGACAAAATGGACCTGTGAACTACTGCTCACTCAGAGCTTGTATACTCTCAGAAGCCGACTTCCTCTTAGTGCAAGGTGCTGTGTGACCCCGTCACACGGATATACCACAATATTTACTACGGTCACGCCCCGGAAAATAGCGACTAGTAGTCATACTCAAAAGCAGTATTTGACCTCAGCGAGGATATATTTGTAGTGATTTGATTGGCTGACGTACTTATCCTCCCGCATATGAAACATCTAAAACTGTAAGTCCTATTTTATGGTAATTTAGTTTGAAGTTTCTTCGGGCGAGCAGCGGGATGAACAGCGGGGAGAACGCTATCCTTAGGGATCATAGCACGTGCTTTGGCAAGACGTTCCGTCAGGGCAAGATCCGCGTTCATCATCTTCCTTGGTACACCGTCGGGACCAAAGACGCCCCCGCTCATAACACGAGTGCAGCGGCCACTGAATTCCGTGATGGCATTTGCCACCTCGTTTGGGCAATCTTCTTGAATCGCGTGTCCTGACGAATACATGAGCCTCATCTCAAATTTACCCATCATTTGGCCACGCATGAGCTCCGTGTCGAGGCGGTCCGGGCCTAAGGCATAGAAACGATTGCTCACGTTAGCGACCAGCACTTGAAAGCGAAAAGACTGGGAATCCTTACCCGCGAGCACCAACACTTTGGCTTCCTTCAGAGACAAAAACTGCGTCGAGAGTCCAATAAACCAGTCTGTGAGCAATAACAGCAGCGATTAGAAACAGCTGCGTCTCTACAGAGACAGACAAAGCAACACTTACCGCGCCAGTACTTGGCACTGCATGCCAGGTCCGTCTTCCAAGCCAGTGAGCCGTCTCCAAGCTGCTTTAGTTGCGACGGGATTGAAACTTCGGCAGCTTCCTGGTTGTGAACAGTGCCGCTGTGTAGGGCCCAATGGATGGCGTCCTTATAGGAGCGGAACTGAGACGGACGGCGATCAAGGATCGCGCCCATGTGCTTCAGCGATGCCAAGGCAGTGCCCTCCACTACATCGATCACCATTACACCCACCAGGGATGGCACTTTGCTCGTAGCAGCGACTCGAACAGCAAGTGCGCCGCCCAGACTGGAACCAAAAAATGATAAATACTGTGTTGTTTTACACATTCACTAGGCATTCTTGCAATAGATGTACGCACCTATGGCCAACGAGGATGGTTTGCGGGTTATCTGGGTCAGCAACTCCGTCTGTCTTCAAAGTCATGGGAGGGATAACATGGTCCAGGACGCTCAGTGTATCTTGGACCAGCGTATTAATGGACAAGTCGTCGTCGTGGGTTGTGTTAGTCTGGCCGTGGCCTCTCAGGTCGAAGGCGTACAGCGTGCACGTCTCTTTTAGCATTGCCTATACAGATTAATTTCATAAATGTAGTACATATATATGTTCGAGTCAAAAAACATTTATGCATATAGATATTTGTTCATTTAAGTCAGCGCAGTGGATTTTTTGGCGTACCGTTACAAGGCACCAAGTCATGGACGTGTACCCTCCACCGTGTAGCAGTACCACGTGCGGACCCTGCGTGCCTGCACGATACAAGCGGAATGTCTTCAAGCAGATCGAGAGCGATAAAAATTGTCAATGTGAGACTCATTCCAACGAAATGCTATAGAGTACTTCTATTCAGCTTACGTCTCCGTTGCGCAGCGCCAGGTCCTCCTTGTAGTCGAAGTACTTGGTCCAAACGTCGTCGTAGTTACTGCTCGCGTCTGCCATTACAGAATGGTGCTTTGGACAGGATCCGCTGTTCGATTGGTCGAAAATAAAAAAAACGTTTTCAGCGAATCACAGAGATATTAATGTAATGTCCGTCCAGGACTTGCGCGCCACCTGGCGAGGGCAGTGGTAGAGAGGCGGGAGACTTGGCTTAGCTTGGTTGAAGGTCTCACCACGCTGAAGTCTTTTCAGTGGCACTTGCACTCCAATACAGACACACAGAGCTGCTCACCGAGGGATGGCCGCTCTCGCCGATCAGGAGACCTCTAGTCCACCACTGATCCAGCTCAAAAGCGACATGCGCAACCTGGGATCCGTCGTTAACGACGAATACGGCACCTTTGAGGTGTCTATTATCGAGGCTGAGTCCGACTTCGAGAACCTGGAGAGGTACAAACCCGTCCTGAATCGGTGCGAACGCGCCTGCCACGCATGCTCAGAAGAATGTTTGTTTATTTGGTTGCTGCTATCCGCTCCCTTCCAGCTCATGACGTACAAGACGCTGCTGTTCCACGGCGCAAACGTCGTTTTTTCGGTGGTAGCACTCGGATGCGTCACTACGTTGTACGCGGTCAAGCTACCGCTGACGCTGACAACAGCATGCGCGGTCAGGTTCCAAAGCTTCGAGATTTGGACGCTACGGCATCTACTGCAATTGGACTGCGTGCTGTTCAATTTCATATCGCCCCCCAGCGAGCGCGTCATGGTCTACGGTCCGTCCGTCCACATGCAGCAGGAAGAGGGACTCTACGGCATGTACGCGCAGCTCTACTTTGGCGGGATCAAACTTCTGACCACGGGCGTTCCTGGCGCAATTGCTGCGTCCATGTTCTTCTGGTTGCTACAGAACGTCCTTTCGACGATCATCCATCTCGGCGGCGACGCGGGGACAGAAGCGAGCTCCATCAACGGCCACTCGCTGAGTGCTACGTACGAGCTGGACGTGATGACGGTCGTAGCTATTGTAGCCATTTATCCTTGCGTGTTGCTGCTACACGTCTTCGCCTTCATGTCGCGGCAATTCACTATTTTTTTCTGCTCGCAATATCTGCTGTACGCCGGCGGTGTGTTAGCATGAAATTACACGATAAATTACTTCCGAGCCTGATGCTCGATTTATAATAAAAAGAGATTGTTTTATTAAATTGAGGTCTATAAAAAGTACAAATCGATCTTGCTTGACTGGCTGCCAAATCGACACCAAATCCACATCGATATCCTGTAAATCGACCATTTTTGCCGTTTTGAAATGGCAATTCGATCACAGATAAAACAAATCGATGACTTTTTACGAGAAAACATTAGGATCACACGTACTGTACAGATCTGATTAACACACAAACTCCAAATCGATTTGCCAATACACTACAGTATTCTGCGTAAATAGTGAACGGGTCATGAACGCATAAACTACCACAAAGAGTAATACCACGACAAGAAGGAGATGTGCAAAGGTATTGAGCTAAGATTGAATCCACCGGAGGAACAAGCAAAAAATCCAGTACATGTCAACATTTGAAATTGGCGCGCTTTTGGCGCCTTGCACATGTATGTAATACATGCATACTATGCGCATATAGTTTAACGGACCTTCACATCCCGCCGTTACTAAGCTACCAAATCCGCCATGCCCCGCAATATACGAGGCGGCTACGCCTTACCTGGGCCGAGAAGGTGGTCACTCTCTCGTACTATGTCCTACAAGGCAATCGCTGAATGGGTCGTAAACGAGTTCTGTCTCCCAACCACTCCACCATGTGTTGTATTTTCAAGTCGTCAGCTACACTACTAAAGCAACCAGTGGAGAAGGCTACTCTATTATCAAAAAAAGTGATGCCTGCATTAAATCGCTTAGGAGAAGGACACGCCGAGCCTTATAAAATGGATTTACTTACTGCATTGATGTGGTGAGAGGGTGCGTGGTCGACGGTGAGCGCGACAACCATTCAAACATTCGGGTTTAGTTAACAAAGCGAGCATCAATTACTTGCTTTGTTAACTTATATCAATACAGGCTGTTTTTCGCTCCAAACTGCTTTGAGCAATGTACTACAGACTGGCATATATATCAGGCGTTCACTGAATACTGTAGCCGCAAAGGGGCAGGCTCAACTCGCCCTTCTGCAGCCTGTAGAGAAGCCCGACCCTTCGCTGTCGCGTGGCGGTGCCTGCCCCCGCGTGCAATGCGGTCTCGCGAATGTTAAACGAATGTATGTAGTTGTGTGATTTCTGGTGTCACACAAAAAGTAGCATTTCATTCTTCCCTGGCGCCGGCACCACGACACGGCACCGCGCTGCGCTCCACACTCAGGCACGCACAGAACATGCCGGGGCTCAGTGCCTCCGAAATGCATCCCGCCAGTCTGTATGCCGGCGACACTGTAGAGTACTATGTAGTGTTGGAATTCCCACGTGAGCTCTAGCTACAAATGTAGTTAGGAAGCTCCCACACCAATACGCCTACTAGGATAGTAAACGATCGTTCGGGCGGACCTGAAGTCCCCAGTTCTGCCCTTGCACCGGGACAAACTGGACCTTGTAAACTACTTATATAGACCAACCAGTAAAAATAAGAACACGCTACTAGCACGAGCAAAGCTAGTAGGTGTTTTGAATCCTCGTGGTCCCAACAACGGAAGGGTACCAGGCACGGGTAAGTCTTTTACGAGATCACCGAGTGTTCAACACTCGGTTGGAAGAATAAAAGGGAGGCAATTCAAGCACTCCCAGTCGTGCAAATAGGCAACAATAAGCCGTCACGTAAAACCTCCCGATAGTAATCAGCCAATACACAAAGTCTCTTGGCCTTGCCGGATGAACCCTCGCTACAGAGCTTCGAGTTCACCGACAGGCATAACACACTCAAACAAGCTTGACCAGACGCTTACCTTGAAGCCGGACGTCGCTCTGTGTGCTTGAGTGGAAATTCTGTTCTGTATTTAAGCTTACCCTTTCGGGTCTATTCCTAATAAGAAGTCCTAATCAAATTTACAAATATCAAGTGAACAATGATCCGTTATGGATCTTCTTGCATACCAAGCGATCGTCTGCACCGTCGCATGAGTATCTTTAACGGTCCGCGCCCTGTCCCAGACGGTGAACGTGACTTCCAAAGGTCGCTGAGTCTTCCACGAACTCATCCCAACCGCCACTGAGGGTTCGTACCGTAGATCGTCCGCTGAATGCGAATCCGGCCAGTCCATTATTAAAAATAAGGACAGCCTGGATTCAGTGACATATGGCCGTATCCAATACTCGTTGAAAGCTCGGAAGTGACGCCGTCGAGTCCCTTGCACCTTGGCGTCTCCGTACATCACATGACCGAGGGTTCGTCGTTTGAACATCTTGGGCGGTGTCACGTCTTTGTCGACGAGTGATAATCCGCAACCACGGAGAAATCACTACACCACAACTACTCGGTGGCCTTCGTGACAGGCGATCCCCGCGGGCATCGCACGTCGGTCGTCCTGCAAATCGACGAGGACGTCGATGCTGAATACCCAATATCAGTCGACACCGGAGAGGTGATTCCACGCTATCTAATGCTAAGCTGTCCATTGACCGATTTTGGGAACCGGTTTAAGCCAGTCTATGCAATTTGACGAAAGCTGCGCTCATACACGTTAATTCCAGGGCAAAAGACCGTAGTGCGTGTGAGGAAACCGACGAGCCGTCATTTTCCGTGGAGCCAGACGACCCGGAGCCAACCATGGGGGCAACCGTGGGGGGCGAGATCACGTCCAGCACCGTCCAAACTGGAGATCAAGCGAGTGGTGTTATCCAGGACAAGAACCAGCTGCCAAGGAGCATGTTGCGTGCTAGGAAAACGTACCATCTGCTAAGGACGTCGAGCCCACCGACCAGGAGGTGCTCAGAGCAGAGGAGTACATGCTTTAGATCCCGACTCAGCTCGCCAAAGCCAAGATCCGACATGAGGCGAAAACGCGTACAGGTTCGTGCCACGTGCCCCGCTCTCGCAAGCGCCGTCACCAGTCGAAGTGCGCTGTAGCGCGGAGTGGACCGCAGACCCACCACGCACACCCCATTACAGCTATGAAGATAAAGGATCTTCTATAGATACCTGGCATAAAGAGTCGCCTAGCAAACTTGCATGCTCGACGACCCATGTACAAGGAGCCAGTCGAACGGGGGCTTGCGTTGCTACACGAGCGGACCTGGCCGGAGGGCATCGAGTCTATAGACGAGTGCATTACGAATGGGATCCGCTTCCCCGACCTCGGCTCTTTCTATAAGTGCCGCTGTGTCGGAGACTGCTTCTGGGACAGCTGCGACAACGTAGAAACTGCCGTTTACTGTACCTGTAGCTGCTGCAAGCTGAACGGGCGCTGTAGTAACGTTCCGATTGTGCGTGATACGCTGAAACTGTTCGACATCGACCGAGTTGGTCTGGGTGTGTGCACCACCACCTTTCTCGACATCGGCGACATTGTAGGCGAGTACACTGGAGAGCTCAGCGAGTGGCTAGCGAAGGTGGCAGGACAACCCGACCAAGCCCTCAAACAGAATAGCGGAAACACATTTGTCTACAATACGAAGTCGGTGACAAAGAAATTCGTGTACATAGAGGCCGTCTATAAAGGGTCCATCACTAGGTTCATAAGCCATGCGTGGGATCCAAACGCTGTCTTCGTCGAGATGCAGAACAGGCGCAACGTGAAGGTCTTCGTGCGGATGATTAAGGATGTGAATGCAGGCGCTGAGATTACGGTTAACTACGGTAACGAGAGGTGGTTTAGATGCGCATGCGACGGATGCTGGGAAGGTAATAGTGAAAACTAGGGGAATAAGAAGGAATCACGATGATCTCGCACACGTATAAAGCAAACCAAGTTTTCCATTATGCGTTCTCTGATTTGAGAAGTGATTGTCATTATTTTTAGAGACGCTGGGTGCTTAAACATCATTCAAGTCTCATTTTTGCATTTTTCTTGCCCCAGCACCAAGTTGACGACGAGTGTTCAAGCTTGAGCGGTCGCATCATGTATCCTACCAAATAATATGACGATTGCGTGTGCGGAAAATTTAGAAGTGTAATTTCACCTTATTTAATACATACTGAGAGCAAGTTGTAGAAGAACATGCTGGATATTTTAAAAAAAATCATGCAAAAGGAGAGATGTGGCGTTGCGGCGCATCATACTCTCGCGTGCACGTTAACGAACCACATCTATTAAGGAGGACTACCCAAACTCTGAACTGTTGCCGGCTAAATCGAAAGTGCTGGGTTAGACATAGCTCAGAGCCGGACCGACCTCCTCCGTCGGGAGCTTGTAATGTGGTGCGTCTTCTTTTCTTCCTGTTGACGATAATGCTGCGACCGCAACTGTCCACGTATTCAGTAATACGCAGTGCGTATAGCAGGTGTACACAAGCACCAAATACGAACCTGTAGCTACAGCCGCACGTCTGTTTCTCAATGTCGACGAGCCATCCACCTGCAGGCTGGCCCTGCACCTCCATTCGTGCATAATTAGTACCCATCTGAGCTGAAGCAGCAATACCTTACTCACTTCGCTTGTTTGGGGCTACGGAAACACAAGGAGCGAGATATGTCTTGACTTGGATGATATCTGGCCGCCCATTATCAGAAGTATCGTCCTCTACCGTCGTCAGTAAGTTTACTCGCACCAGCTCCGTAATCCTGCGTGTGAGCGTGTCGGAAGGTATGACCCCGAACGCGAATGTTCGCGTTCTAGAAGACTGATCTTGGCAACACGCGCTAAACTCGCGCAACAGTGCTCCCAGATTTAGCCCACGACGTAACGTGTAATCCCTTTTGAGTACGGTGTTGAAGGTTTCTACGGGGTTGTTAGTGGTGGCGAAACCAGTTGGAGTAGCGTACGCCTGCCACGTACTAAAAATCCCTTGCAGCCATTGCGCGTCCATGTACTTTGAAATAGAAACAGTCTCAGATCACTTTCCCATTCCCACAAAATTGCGTCCCACAGCATCAAATACGCTTGTTCGGTTCTGGCAATGTGTACATCGTATATATCTCGCAACACCTTCGCCGCTAGCAGCGAGGGAAATGTCTTTATTGCACTCTGAACCTTCTCC